TTTATCTGAGCTGAAAGTGCGCTAAAGACGAGACGGCTCTAAGTGCTCTTCCTGCTGTGCGTTTCAAACCAATTCACAAGAGCCATATTCTACCAGGCTGATTACGGCTTCACCCTTACTTCAGCTTTTATACGCTGAATTGAAGAGTGAAATATTCTATGCCCATTTTCAGTGTTCATAATTTTATCTTTGGTCTACTGTAATAGATTTACAGCTTCATACTGTTCATCTCTATTCACCCTCTGTTTGAAACGCTCTGTTAGAGCTCCTGTGTCTTTAAGCCCCGCCTCCCGATGAGCCCAGTGTACTCTGATTGGTCAGCTCGCCCTCTCTGTTCTGATCGGTCTCCTCCAGAACGGTTCCGCCCCTGTCCTGCAGTCTGCAGACAGACCCTTCTCTCCTGAGCAGCTGTAAACTCTGCTGTGGCTGTTTGTCCAGCGGTGTCGGTTCTGCCGGATCAGTTTGATCCAGAGTGGATCCTGAAAGTCCGGTCAGCGTCTCTCCACACACTACAGCACTGAACACACTCTTCCTCCTCCAGTAGCCGCTGTGTGAGGCCGCTGTGTGAGGGGGCCGAGCTCGCCAGTAGGCGGGCAGTAAGGACTGTGTTACGAGATTGAGTCATCCTGTAACAAAGGAAAAGGGCTGGAATTCCAACGAGGCGTTTCAGGCAGCTGAGAAAAGAGGATTCTGTGGGACCTAGGGAGGGAACGCTGAGCTTTGGCACAATAGATCCCCTTCAAACTGGGTATCTACTACACTTTTTATAATCCTAATCCTAATCCTAACATCTTATAATCCATATTTTTGTCATTCACGATGGTCACTATGTCAGAATAAGCAATTATAGTGCCATAATGTCGTGCCGTGTTTTGGTCAGAAGACAGGAAACAATACAAGACACCGACCAATCATCGCTCATGTTCTTGCGTGACTTCACAGGCCGATTGTGTTAACATACCAAGAACACTGTATAAATGTAGCTACTAGGTTCTCTGTACGTAAAGAGACGCTATAAACGCTGTTTCTCTCTATCATTTATTTTTTCGCACTCTTGTCATGGTTCTCCCTCGAGGAAGCGTCATAAAGGCAGGGGTTCTGCTGCCACAGCTCAGAGAACCCTTCTTTCTGACGGCAACAACAGTGCTCCTCTTTCTCTTCACCGTGTTTATATATGTGCACAGACAGCACTCCATCAGACTACTGGTTAACATCAAGGAATGCGCCATAGGAGACGTCAGACTAGGCACGAAAATACAAAAAATTCTGACATGCTAGACTTTGCCGGGCATTCCAGACACCACAATGCTGTTCTTCGATTTTGTTCCTGGTGCTCATTTTCAGACCAGACACTGGAAATTTGTCAGCTGCCACAAAATTGTGTCAAAATTGGGCTGAATTTGTGCAGTCTGCTCCCAGCATAACAGAGAATCACACACTTTACGTGTTTAACAGAATTCCTTGTTATTTTGTTGTGAGGGCGCACACGGGACGAGAAGGCAAAAAATGGGCAAAGCACACCTAACGAGTAGCACTCAAAATCCCAAATCTCCTGTTATCATGTGACACTGGAGCTGAGCTGTTTGTGCTTTTATGCATTCATAAGAACTTACAGGTAAGCGATATGACAAAAACACAATATTGCGATACTTCAAGAAATTTTCACGATACCGAATACGTTGCGATATTTATTTTGTCAGACGTCTGATCAGTTGAAACAGAAATAAAACAGAAGTGCTACATTTTAAAAATACCATCAAAAACTGTAAACACAATGATTTTTATTCAGTATTAGGTGTACTGTGTTACTAACCCAGTTACTCTTATAAATAGTAGTTTTGGTCATTTACAATCAAGTATTTACATGAGACAGTAACACGTTATTTTCAGGAGTCCCTGGGCTGCTCAGATGTGTCATTACTGGACCTGTAAATGCTAAGAGAATTTTTATATTTTTATGAATGATTAATTTTTGACCAAACATTTAGTGAACACCTCAAAAGTTTTGTAAATTTTTGCTTATACAGATCTTAAAAACAAGTGTCAGCTCATATACCTTTTCAGAAATTGTTTGTGGTTGTTTATTCTTGATTTTCTGTCCTCTCGGATTCATGCTGGGTGCAAAAACTGTGAGGCACAGCAAGACAGACTTTATTTTTAATTTCAAATTGAGTTGCATGTTTACCATCATGAGTGCTTTCATATGCAAATCATGTCAGTTGGTTATAATATTAAGTCTAAAAGCCAATAGAAAATTAACGTAATGTCAGCAAATGGATTTTGGGTGATCCGATACATGTATGATGTTCTGTTTTTAACCTGTTGTTATATGAAAGCTAAAAGCAAAGAGCTTATATCAGGATTTTGGGTGGTTTATCAAGCCGGATTACTCACTGATGCTGATGTCAGGGCTCACTAGGGCTAGATAGGGCCGTCTGCAGTGTTCTGATATATATCGTCTGTAGCTTAAAGCATTATGAAGTTATGAAGGCTAGAAGGCAGCTATGCACTTACCCATAAAAAGCAGGCTTTGAGAAACATGTAGTTAGTCAGTGTTCTACAGGTATAACGACATCTATGATATGTTCAGAAAGGCATACCCTATTGTGACAAAACTTATTACGATGATGATATACACTACAGAGACAAAAGTATTGTGACGCCCCTCCTAATTACTGAGTTCAGGTGTTTCTGCCACCTAACAGGTGGATAAAATTAAGCACATAGCCTTGCAGTCTCCATAGACAAACACTGGCAGTAGGAGGTCGAATTGATGAGCTCAGTGACTTTAAACATGGCTCTGTCATAGGATGTCACCTTTCCCACAAGTCAGTTTATGAACGTTCTTTCCTGCTAGATCTGCCCTAGACAACTGTAAGTGCTATCATTGTGAAATGGAAGCGTCTAGGAGCAACAACAGCTCAGCCACGAAGCGGTAGACCACCAAACTCACAGAGTGGAGCTGCCGAGTGCTGAAGTGCACAGAGTCTATCCTCTGTTGAATCACTACAGAGCTCCAAACTGACTCTGGAAGCAACATCAGCAAAAGAACTGCACATTAGGAGCTTCACGAAATGGGTTTCAATGGCTGAGCAGCTCCACACAAACCTAAGCCAAGTGTCGGATGGAGTGGTGTAAAGCGCCGCCACTGGACTCTGGAGCAGTGGAAACACATTCAGTGGAGTGGCCAATCAGCTTGTCTATCTGTCAGTCTGATGGACGAGTCTGGGTTTGGCGAATGCCAGGAGAACGTTACCTGCCTGACTGCACTGTGCCAGCTGTAGAGTTTGGTGGAGGAGGGATGATGATATGGGGCTGTTTTTCAGGGGTTGGTCTAGAACCCTTAGTTCCAGTGAAGGGGAATCTTAATGCTTCAGCACCAAGACATTCTGGACAACTGTACACTTCCAACTTTGTGGGAACAGTTTGGGGAAGAACCTTTCCTGTTCCAGCATGACTGAGCCCCAGTGCACAAAGCAGCTCCATAAAGGCCTGACTGGGTGAGTTTGGTGTGGAAGAACTCGACTGGCCCTCACAGAGCCCTGACCTCAACCCCATCACACACCTTGATGATGAACTAGAACGGAGATTGTGAGCCAGACCCTCTCGTCCAACATCAGTGTCTGACCTCACAAATGCTCTTCTGGATGAATGGGCAGAAATTCCCACAGACTCTCCAACATCTTGTAGAAGCTTCCCAGAAGAATGGAAGCTGTTAGAGCTGCAAAGGGGACCAACTCCATATTAATGCCTATGGATTTAGAATGGGATTCATAAAAGCTCCTGTAGGTGTGTTGTGTAGGTGTCCTTAAACTTTTGTCCATATAGTGTATTATAGTGTATACTGTCATTTTGCCCAGCACTACAAGAGTGGAAACAAAAACTGAGGATGAATGAGGTTGAAATGCAGATATCAGAGTCAGATCTGTAATATTTACTACAAACTGGCTGCTGACTTTGAAACTGTAAGGAGAGTGATTATTTGTCTGAACTCATTCAGCTTCTCTGGCTCTGTGTCCTGCTGCTCACAAGGCTGAGAGCACGCTCATCTCTCTTTACTTTTTTCCTCTCTTCTAGCTCTCCCGTGACTGTTGCCTAAATCGCTCATTCAGTTACATCACTGTGTGTCTCACACAACAGGACTCGTGAACATTTTGAGTCAAAACACGTTTGAAAACGTCGGAGGGGCTCCAATCACGCCATCAAATCAGAAAGCTAAAGAGTGATTCGCTTCTCCTCTGACACTACTGGAACATCAGCGCAGATGATCTGAAGGTCTCATTACCGCTGCTTCGCCTTCACACAAGAATTCCATCCGAACCGTGGATCGATTGCGCAATTCCATACATCACTTTTCTGCACAGGTTTGCAAAATGGTCGGCACTGGCTTCATCCGTTTGCTGCTTTTTATTATCTTCCCTGGATGCAAACACTCAAGCGGCAAAGAGCAGAGCTTTTTGGATGCAAAGCATTTCACCATACAGGACATACACACTAGAGGTGGCTGAAAGAGAAGCCCAGACCACCGATTTTAGGAGGACCAGTGATCGGTTCTCTAGACCGCTCCCAGGCTCAAAAACAGCTTTCACACTCGACCAAACCTACCAAACTCTAGTGTGAAAATGGCCTAAATTGCTTCAGATCAAGCTTCCTACCTGGAAAATACCTTCAGATTGTGAAAATTTGTTGGAAAAGGCAAATCAGGGTTAAAACTGTGCCAAAACTCAGTGCAGCTTTAGATCATAGAATAAGAAGGGCTGTTTTTTTATTTTTTTTTTATTTCTGATTGCTGCAATTTACGAGTTTGTCTCCTGTCAGGTTTGGAGTGACTGGCGCAGAGCTGGGCTGGATGAATATGAATGAAACCTGATGCAAGGTGAGGCAAACTCGGCTGATGGGACAGATGCACCGAGCAGCTCTTCTCACGTCACCTCTAATTTGAGAGAGGAGTGTGAGTGAGCCGCTTTGGAGTGCCTTTTTCGCCTCCGCCTCCGTCTTACCTGTTGAAGTCGTCCCTGTACTCGCTGGAGACTCTCTGTATGAGACTCTTTAACCTGAGCAGAGAAAGGAAGAGAAAGGGAGAATTCAAATGAGGCTCTTAGGGCGAAAAGGGTTTCAATGCGTGCCGTTCTGTGTAAAATCTATTCATCAGCGAAGAAAAGCGTAACTGACACGGACCGCGCCGCATTTGAATGCCGGCCTGTGCGTTGCCATGGCAGCGCTTCTGTTTGTGATATGTCTGTGAGTGAGAGTTATTGCCAAAAAATAAAAAAATCTGAACGATCTTGGTACCTCGCGCTTTCCTCTGTTGGATCCTTATCGTCAATGACTGCAATTGCCACCAATTTACCTGTCGAGGCAGAGAGGGGAGAAAAAGAAAAGATGGGAAAGCATCAACTTTCACTGCTCAGAAAAAGCAGCCACTGTCTGAAACAAGAGGCACTGAAAACCAGCCATTTCTACAATAATAACAGTTTTTATATTTAATTACTGATTAAAGAAGAGAAACAACGCAGCTTTCCTCTGTACAGAATAGAGACTGAAGTGATCTGATGCCTGTAGAGAATGGATTAATGTGCTTTTGTACTCAGGGCGTTCTGTGCTGCTCAGTAAGACAGAACAGATAAATAGAGAATGCATGTGCGCCCCCTGGTGGACTTGCACTAGCCATGCATGCCCAAAGAGCAAAATAACTGCCTGTCAAAACTTTTTATTACGTTTTTAATACAAATGAGCCTGTTTTCTTTGCTGGGTTTGCAATAAATGACCATATTAAAGGCTAAATAGTTTTTTTTGGGGGGGGAAACAATAATTGGGAATCTCTGCTCATAAATATAAAAACCATTTTGCTGCTCTCAACAAAATTCATCCAGCGTTTCTTCTGAAATGAAGGTTGTTAATAGTGAGTTTGTGCTGCAGTAACAGCCTCTACTCTTCTGGGAAGGCCTCTAGATGTTGAACATTGCTGTGAGGATCTGACTGAGCATTACTGAGGTCAGGTACTGATGTTGGATGGCCAGTTCTGGATCACTAACTCATCCCAAAGGTATTGGATGGAGCTCCATAACTCCAGAGAACCTCCACAGCCCAGTGCCGGGGGGGCTTTTATACCCTCTCTAGCCCACGCTTGCCATTGGACACTGAGACCTTAGGCTCATATGGAGATGCTCCAGAGTGTCCCATTCTATTGGTCAGTGCTTTTCAAAGGACATTACATAAGCTTCTTTCAGTCAGAAAGCATTTTTAAGAGCTCCAGGCCTACTTATTTGTTGAATTTAACATATTTGGAAAAAATAAAACATCACACGTGCCATAACCTTTGTACATACCACACTTTATGCTGTATTTTTCCCCCAATATGTTTTAGATAAACAGTATTTGTGCTTTAAAATGTGCAGAAGTGTGTTCTCTCTAGAGTAGGGGTGTCCAATCCTATCCTAAGGGTCGGTGTGGCTGCAGGTTTTCCCTCCAAACAAGCTGAAGCTCACCTGATCTACAAGCTGAAGCTCACCTACTCGTTTCATCAGTTGGTCTTAGTCTTCAAACATTACCAGGTGATCTCCTGCTTTGTTGGAGTGAAAGCCTGCAGCCACAGCAGCCCTTTGCGGATAAGAGTGGACACCCCTACTCTAGAATAACATGTTTACACTACAATCTGACCCAAACTTCTGCAGGTCTAAGCATGCTCCCTTGTTTGTTTTTACTGTAGCGGAGAGCCTATTGGTGGTAACTGTAATGCGGGTCAGTACCGGTCTCGCCCAGCTCGTAGAGTGTGAAGCCATCGATCTGCAGGTAACCCTGGAAACGTTCCCTGTTCACCCATGAAGATATGCTGCCGTCTTCGTACTCTGCAACACAAACAGAGGCAGATGTAACCTGATTATGCTCAGAAAACAGCAGGCAGATCCTATTATAATACCGTATATTACTTTTATGCAGCTTTTAGAGATGAACAATGATATCAGACCCTTCTTAGTATTGGCAGATAATCGCTTAGAGCGTCAGACAGTTTGATTTGACAGATATTTCAAACCAATATTTGATGTATTTACTGTACTTTGCAGTACACTGGGGGACGCTGGGCTACTGCGCTTAAATATCAGCACTTTATTTTACTGCGCTTGTAACCCTGTAGAAATAAATGTTACATCTGTCTGTGATGCTTTTTCAGGCATCACATAACAGCTTTTCCCACACTTTTAGTTTCCTTACAAAGCACATTATAGGTGACAACGCCAAAAGCAGTTAAATAGTTGATTTTTACAAAGACAGATGTAACCTGATTATGCTTAAAAAACAGCAAGAAGATCCTATTATAAACATTTTGTAATAACTAGTAAACAGTTGGGGTGGTGCAGTGGGTAGCGCTGTCGCCTCACAGCAAGAATGGCCTGGGTTCGATTCCCGGCTGGGTGACCGGGGTCATCTCTGTGTGGAGTTTGCCTGTTCTCCCCGTGTCTGTGTGGGTTTCCTCCGGGTACTCCGGTTTCCTCCCACAGTCCAAAAACATGCAGTCAGGCTGATTGGATGTGCTAAATTGCCCCTAGGTGTGAATGTGTATGTCTGTCTGTCTGCCCTGCGATGGACTGGCGACCTGTCCAGGGTGTATCCTGCCTTCCGCCCAATGACAGCTGGGATAGGCTCCAGCACCCCACCGCGACCCAGAAGGATAAGCAGTTTAGATGATGGATGGATGGATAGTAAACAGTTTTTAGGGATGCACAATGATACTAAATGTCTGTATTGGCAGATTATGGCTTAAAATGATCGGCACTGAACAGATGTTTAGATTAAACCAATATTTCAAACAAATATTTGAGGATTTATTTATTGTACTATGAAAAATGTTGGGCTATGCTGGGCTACTGTGCTAAAACACATTTTTCTGCATTTGGACCCCAAAGAACAGGGGTCACAACCCAAATGATAAGAAGAGCCATTTTGTCCTTTCAGCAAAAATCAAACCACTTTGGGAGTCACAACATTTTATATCCATTTTACCATCTTGGCTGTAAATATGTCTCAGTCTGTGCTGATGTGTTGTGTTAGTACAGGCTAACAAATTTAGCATAAACGAAAACAGACTTACTTCGCTCTGCTTTAAGCTTCAGCTCAGCTATAGCTGCTTTTCTCACATCTCCAGCAGGAAACTTTTCCTCAAAAGTAGAACAGTTTCTTGTAAAACGTCTCTTAATATTTGACTTTTTACGAGGCTGAAGTCGCTTCTCATTCGCCAGCTTATAGTTTGAATTTTCCCGTTCCACCTTAAATGGTGCCTGAGGAGTCAGAATGTAACTGCTGCACCATTTAAGGTGGAACGGGAAAATTCCAACAAGAAGCTGGCGAATGAGAAACTTCAGCTTTGCGACTTTTTAGTATTTCAGTTTCTCGTTGCAGATTAAACGTATCAGGAAACCAGCTGGAGTGATTATAAACACAAATAAGTCCATTCATCTCCAAATTATCGATGTTTGTCTTAAATCTCTCTCTTTGTCGTTTCGTTAGCTACTAGCTAGGCGAGACTGTTGTCTGTGTCGCTATGGTGACCAGCAGTCTGCGCTGATCTTCAGGGTTAAAGGGTGAATCAGCAGTTCTACATTAACTCCAGAGTTTAAGATCATTTATTGTTAAACTGTGTTGAACGATCAGCAGAGCTTTATTTTACTGTAAAGGAGGATTATTTTATTTTTACCTACAAATCTGATTCAGCTGTGGAGCAACAACAGGGCAGTAAAAGAGCCACATGCAGCTCCGGAGCCTCACATTACCGACCCCTGCTATAGAAGTAAATGTTACACCACCCCATTTCCAAAATAGTTGTGACACTGCAAAATGAAATAAAAACAATGTTAAAACAAGTTTTGGCATTTTATATCTTGTTGTTGTTCTATTTTCAATTAAACATAGGGTTTAAATGCTTTGCATATTACTGCACATCATTCTGTTTTTATTTACATTTTGCACATCATCCCAACTTTTTTGGAAACAGGTTTGGTCCTCTCTGTAAGGCTAATCCAGACATCGGATATCAGCTTCTCTGTACTGGTTCATCTCCAACAGTTTTAACCACAAAACACACCACAGATGACAGAGCCATACAGCAGTTAACTCGCTGATTTCTACAACACTGAAATGAGCCACACAACAGAATCTGAAAAACTGATAAATCTCTTGGCGTCCAATCTCATCACCATCTGGCAGCACCAGCCTTTGTGACTCCTTTTTTTGCCCGAGGAGGGGAATTAAATCAAAGTTTGGACCTCTGGCTGTGGCGGCAGCAGAGCTAATTGAAGAAGCGCAGTCGGACAAATGTTTTGACAAATGTTTGCCTTTGGGAGAGACGTTTACAAACGGCAGGCTATTAATGAACACGAGCGCCGTCAAACATCCTCCTGTGCGTCACAGTCGACCACTTTGGGTTCCGTCGGCAGCGTTCTGAGTATACGACGCACAGCGGAAAAATGCTAATGAGCTCGGGCGTCGTCAGTCGAGTTTAAAAATGTTTTACAAATATTTGAAATGTGTTAAACAGTGTAGACGGAAGCCGTCACTGACACTTGCCACCGAAAGAAAAGCATCACATCTCTGGACGGCACCAGTTAAATAAGGCTGAATAAACTTCTTCACAAGGGCGCCTTCATTACTCTGCAGAAGAAGATCCAACAAACACCCCGCCTCGTCTGAAGGGAGCGCGTGGTAATCACTTAGACCTTAATGACCGCAGTTATACGGCTCTAAGACATAAAATTAATGACAGGAATGAAAACAAAGAGAGAGGTAATTGGGGGGTCAACTACAGCAATAAGTACCCATTTAAATCATTAAGAAGATCTTATCTCAGCCAGCTGCCACCTGAATTACAATCAGCTTCACTTGTCACTCACCGGGTCTTTGAAGAGCTGCATTTGCTGATATCCTTTCAAGTAATTCACGAAACTCCTTTATGATCAAGGCTCTAAGCAGCTGCTTCTGCCTGATTCAGAAAGTCCCGCTTTTCCAAAAGGATACCCGGCACTGTACGTTCATAACGGATTCCTTTTAAAAGCTATTTCACAAGCTGAAAACCTGACACCTTTTCACCAGTTCTGACTCCTTTAGAAGGTTCCCAGCTGTCTGCGACTGTCACTCTTCCTCAGTGGATGCAAACGGTTCAAATTTAATGTCATAATACTGAGTATTATGAACAAAACGCTCCAAATTAGAGTCTAAATGAAATGATCTGGGGCTGGTAGCACCAGCTGTACATAAACTAAAAAAAAACTCCTAAAGACGGTTCGTTAAGGGTTCTTTAGTAAAGAAAATGGGTCTATATGGAACCATGATCACTCAAAGAACCCTCTACATGATTAAAGGGTTCTTTGTATGATGAAATGGCTCTTTAGATTGATGGAGCTTACTGAAAAGGGTTCTATATAGCACCAAGAAGGGTTCTACTATTGTTACAATGTCAAGCTTGTAATAATAGAAGAAATTTTTGGCACTATATAGAATCCTTTTCAATAAGGTTCTACATAGAATCATATACAACACATTCTCCATCAATAACTATGCAAAAAAAAAGAAAAAAAAAAAAACACTGGTTCTTCAAGGGTTCTTTAGTAATGACAATGGATCTATACAGAACCATGAACACTCAAAGAACCATCTGCATGCTTAATAAGGTCTTTGCATGGTGACTGATGGAGGATGTGTTGCATATCGTTCTGTACCAAACCTTTTTGAAAAGGGTTCCATATAGAACCAAAACGGGCTCGTCTACTGTTACAAGCTTGACATCGTAATAATAGAAGAACCCTTTTTGGTGCTGTATAGAATCATATTTAACACATTCTCCATCAATCTGAAGAATGAGTTCACCATGAAAAAGAACCCTTTAAGCATGCAAAATGGTTCTCTGAGTGTTCATGGTTATATATAGAATCACTGAAGAACCATCTTGTTAAGAGTGCAGCCAAATTAAATATTTCCCCCATAACTCAGATGATAGAAAAACAAGGAGTGTGAAATGTTGGGCTGCTAGTGAGCAATGAGGGGTGAAAGGAGGTGAGAACCCCCTGCTGCTCCACACAAACAGCACAAGCAGCTTTAAACCTAAATATTGAGTACTGCCACAATAAAAATATATACACGAATAAAAAATGTAAGATTATATACAACACATTCTCAATCATTCTGAAGAACCATTTCACCATGCAAAGAACCCTTTAAGCGTGCATGGTCCTTTAGGCGTACATGGCCCTTGAAGAACTCCTGAAGAACCATGAGTGCATACGCTGTGATTTTACTTACAGCTCTGATCATCAATCTGGTTTTACTTTAAACGTTACTTTAAATCTGAAAGGGAATCTGCAGTGATGTTTTTCCACACCTCCGAAGTTCAGACTTAAAAGGCAACTCTGGAACCACATGTGGCTCTTTTACTGTCCTGTGGCTCCACAGCTGAATCAGATTTGTAGGTAAAAATAAAATAATCCTCCTTTACAGTAAAATAAAGCTCTGCTGATCGTTCAACACAGTTTAACAATAAATGGTCTTAAACTCTGGAGTTAATGTAGAACTGCTGATTCACCCTTTAACCCTGAAGATCAGCGCAGACTGCTGGTCACCATAGCAACACAGACAACAGTCTCGCCCAGCTAGTAGCTAACGAAACGGAAAAGAGAGAGATTTAAGATGAACATCGATAATTTAGAGACGAATGGACTTCGCAAAGCTCAATTCAGTTCCTCACTCGCCAGCTTCTTGTTGGAATTTTCCTGTTCCACCTTAAATGGTATGGCAGTTACATTCTGGCTCTCAGGCACCATTTAAGGTGGAACGGGAAAATTCAAACTATAAGCTGGAGTAT